GGAGCCCGATGCGGGACTCGATCCCAGGACTCCAGGATCATGACCTGAGCCGAAGGCAGTCGCTTAACCAACTGAGCCACCCAGGCGCCCTGAAATCACTTTCTTATTGCACTAAGACAATATGATGTTGAATAGTAGTGGAAGGAACAAACTTTCTTGTCTCATTTCTGATTTTAGGGGGAAAGCATTCAGTCTTTGACCATTAAGGATGATGTTAGCTTGTAGGCTTTTTTTTTGTTGTTTTTGCAGATACCTTTATCAGATTAAGGACATTTTCTTCTTAATTTGCTGAGTTTTTGTCATGATTGGTTAAACGTTAATCAAAAATTTTTCTGCATCTGTTGAAATGATCTATGGTTTTTCATCTTTAATAGGTTGATATTGTGAATTGCTGTTATTGGTTTTCAGTATTGAAACAGCTCTACATTTCCAGGATAAATTACGCTTGGTCATGATGTGTTATCTTTTGTATATAGTCCTAGATTCAATTTTCTGTTATTTTATTGAGGATTAAGTCTTTGTTATAGGATAACACCGTTGTTTTAAAATGAATTGGACAATGTTCTCCTTGGTTTTCAGGAATAATTTGTGTAGAATTGGTATTACTTCTTCCTTAAATGTTTGGTGTAAGAAAACCTGAAATTTTATTTGTTGGAAGGCTTTTAACAACAAATTCAGTTTATTTAATAGATCTAGGAATATGCGGGTTATTTCTTGAGTGAACTTTAGTTTTTGTGTCTTTCAAGGAATTTTCTGTTTCTTTTAGTTGTTGCTATTGACATTTTAAACACCAAAAAAAAAAAGTTTATATCCAGACAGTTGTTTGGTGGCTACACATTCATCCTTTGGTGGGAGGATTGTACCCATTCTACCAAAACTATTTTAAATCTGAGAAGCAGCATAGTATAGTGAATAAAAGTGTGGATTCAGGAATCAGACCAAGTTACTTAACTTCTTCTGCTTCAATTACCTCATCAAAAAAGTGCAGATATAATAGGAACTACCTCATAAGGTTGTTGTTGAAGAATAAATGAAATAATTCATGGAGAGTGCTTGGTAAGCACTAATTTAAATAATCCCATTTAAAAAAAATCATTTTCATCATTGTTATCTCTCAGTGGTATCCATACCATAACAGTATAGATTTTACTTCAAACTTTTTTTTAATTTTATTTATTTATTTTTTTTTAAAAGATTTTATTTATTTGACAGAGCACAAGCAGAGGGAGCGAGAGGGAGAAGCAGACTCCCTGCTGAGCAAGGAGCCCGATGTGGGACTCGATCCCAGGACCCTGGGATCATGACCCGGGCCGAAGGCAGCCACTTAACCGACTGAGCCACCCAGGCGTCCCTACTTCAAACTTCTTAGTGTTCCAGCTACAAAGTCTTTTCTTTTTTGTTTTAAATTGACATTTTTCTACCTTTTTAAGGCCTTGTTACATATGTGGCCTCTAACTAGGAACATCTTCTTTCTAGCCATAGATAACCTCTTTTTCATCTGTCTCCTCTGAAGATCGTATGTGTACTTATTTTTTTTTTTTTTTAAGATTTTATTTATTTGACAGACACACAGCAAGAGAGGGAACACAAGCAGGGGGAGAGGGAGAAGCAGGCCTCTGGCAGAGCAGGGAGCCCGATGCAGGGCTCGATCCCAGGACTCTGGGATCATGACCTGAGCCGAAGGCAGACGCCCAATGACTGAGCCACCCAGGCGCCCCGAAGATCATATGTGTACTTAGATGTGTGCACCCATACACATCTATACACAAACATGTATTACTGTTTCCTTTTCTTTCTGTTATTTTTAGTTTCCACATCAGAATAATGACAGTGCTGATAAAGTGGGAAATATGAAAATAATTGTTTTTGCCAAGGGTAGTCCCTTGGCAATATTGAATTCAGTAAATACATGAATGTGCATTAAAAAAAATCACCTGGATATCTATCTTGTTTCCTGGGCCTCATTTCCAGAGTCTCATCCAGTCAGGGTGGGGCCCACGACTGAGTTTCTGACAAGATTGCTGGTGCTGCTGCTTGTTGGGGGAAAATGCCATTTTGGGGAAGTCTGCCACAACTTAGTTACAAGTTTATTGGAAAACTGTTATAAATAGTGAAGACTTCTTCATTAAACTAGAGTATTGGGCATGTCTTTTAAGCTCTCTTATTTTCATTAGTGATTGATCTCTTTATCAGACACGGCCTTTATTCTCTTAAAATATGCCTGTCAGTATGCCTGTTGATATTTTCTCTCTGATGTATCTTTGAACTAAAATTTCCTAAGGTCCACCCAGGTCTCATGTTAAAAACATTTTGAATTTAGACCTTTCTTCCCCTTCTTTTATACATTTTTCACTAATTTGTGATTTTAAAGAAACATGGTATATCTATTTTCTTTATTATACCTAAATACATCTTATTTCTTCACACATACAGATTTTCTTGATTGATACTTTTTTCATTTTAGTTTAAAAGAAGAATTTACTTACAAGAAAATGTTTATATGTAGGTAGCTTTGAATCCTTAAATGTGTTAAATATGAATTTTATCTGCATTCAGCCTGTACATTGTGATTATAATAAATGATTGAATGGTAATAAACTTAAGGTGTTTGAAGAAGTGTCACTGTCTTTGAAAAAAATCTTTAAGCCATTTTCAGTAGAACTTTGAAGTAGTATAATTTTGAATGTGTTTTTGGTTATTTTAGCAGAGGCCTATGCCATGGAACATTTATATCTTCATTTCTATTTTAGGTGCGTATAGCAGCAAAATTCATTATTCATGCCCCTCCTGGAGAATTTAATGAGGTGTTTAATGGTGAGTGTTTAATTCATAGCACTAAGGCTTCATATATCAAGCATTCCTTTTTTTTAAAAGAATAAATTACATAACCAAAAGAACTAAGCTAAGGGGACGGGGGAGTATGTAGAAAAATCTGTACTTTCTGAATTATAGTGAAAATTTTTGTCACTATGGATTTCATAATGGCTAGAATATATTTATGATATATATGATAATTATGTTTCAGTAAGTTAACCACCTTAAAAGAGTATTAGAAGATAGAATTTTAATTTTAGCTATTTTTTGGAATTGTGAAATGCATTTTTATATTCCTTTTAAAGAAAAACCTAGAATAATATGAACAACCAAAAAGGGGGGGGGCATTGTTTCACCATGTTCAGAAGATGAGACCGCATGTAAAAACTAATTTGTATCTTACAGATTAGTTCACAGTATACCTTTCTTTAAACCTCAGGGGCAAACATTTTTATAGTTATCTACCATAGATTAGAAATTTAAACTTTTACACAGTCTCCTGGTTGCTGTAAAAACTAACAATAGCTCCTCTTTAACAGTGAGAATGACATGGTTGAAACAGTCACCAAGAAAATGGCCTGTAGTGATCTTTTTACAAAATTTTTCTTAAGCAGTTTTAAGAATAAATTACCATAGGTACTGTAAATGTGTTATTTCTACTTATATATATTTGGCCTTCACTGTCTAAAATTAAAACTAATTTACACAGGACTCTTCAATTTAATTTTTAAAACATTCTATTCCAGAGTAAACTATTTAAACATGTTTTGAAAGAAGTTTAATCTCTCATTTTCATTTATAGTATAAGATATAATGGAATCTCACCTCAAAAAAAGATCAGGTTTAAAGTCAAAAAATGAAGTAAAAATTTTGTAAAGTTAAAATTACCCTTGAAAATTCCTTAAATCATCCACAAACTACAATACATGATTTATTGCATACAGCTACATGATAATTTTTATGCATTTAAAAATTTAACCGCTGAGCTACACTTAGAGAAAGAATGGGGTCTACAGTGTATTCTGCCTTTTAAGATAATTGTAAAATCTAAAGTAGTGAATTGGGAAGTTGGGAGAGAATTCGCAAATATTTCTGCTTCCTCTATGGTTTTTTTTTTTTTTTTTTTTAAGATTTATTTATATATTTTGAGAGAGTGAGAATGAGAGAGAGAGAGAGTACATGAGAGGGGGGAGGGTTAGAGGGAGAAGCAGGCTCCTCTCCAAGCAGGGAGCCCGATGCGGGACTCGATCCCGGGACTCCAGGATCATGACCTGAGCCGAAGGCAGTCGCTCAACCAACTGAGCCACCCAGGCGCCCTGCTTCCTCTATGGTTTAACTACAGCCTCTTTGTTCCTTAGGTTCAAAAGTTGGCATGTAATTTGAATTGATAATGGTGAAACTGCAGTAAAGTCAGTGGCCCCCAAACTCTTGTGTAATTTATAGAACCGAGAATAAGTTGTAATCCTAGACGTTTTTCACTGAATGTTCTTACCTTGAATTAAATACCCTACAAATTTGTTAATCAGAAAGACCCTAAAAGAATGTATGAGTCCTAGAAATTGCTTTTCAAGTCTCACTGGAAATTGATGTCGGTAAGTTCTGTGTTGAGGTACAATAAATTTGGGCATTTAGGGTAAGCCATTCAGTAGGCTTGGGGTGGAGAGTAAGCTATGGAATAGAAGTGGGATGTAGGATATTATTTAAGTTTTAAATGGGGAGTATTTTAGAGTTAAAAAGGAATTAAATATTTCAGGGGGAAATGTCATGATTTGATTATTTTTATTGCTATTTTTGTTGATAACACCAGTATGATGATTCCAAGAGAAGCAACAGATTTAGAATTGCAAAGTCATAAAATCTTGTTAGGTTGGTGGTTCCCAAATACTATTTCCTAGGCTGGCTATGTTAGAATCATTGAAACATAAATTTCTGGTCTTCATTCTCAGAAACTGATGTGGTAGATCTCAGAAACTGATGTGGTAGATCTTGGCTGGAACTCTGAAATACATGCCCCCCCCCCCTTTTTTTTAAAGATTTTATTTATTTGACATAGACACAGCGAGAGAGGGAACACAAGCAGGGGGAGTGGGAGAGGGAGAAGCAGAAGCAGGCTTCCCGCAGAGCAGGGAGCCCGATGCGGGGCTAGATCCCAGGACCCTGGGACCAGACCTGATCCGAAGGCAGACACTTAACGACTGAGCCACCCAGGCGCCCCCCTAATCCTTTTTTTAAGAGTAGATTTTATTCAAATTCTTTTGTCTTTCTATTTCTTCTTCTGTACTTTCCTTATAATATAAACTTTCCAGAGTAAAGCTAACTGGATCAAATAGATCCTGCTTTTAAATTTTTTTCCCATTTAGAACTGGAAAAGATACACTACCATGCAGTACCATGATTATGTTTTAAATATAGAACGTGAAAGTGTCATATTTATCAAATAGAACTCCCCAGTTTTGTGAGATAGAAATAACTAAAATTTTAAATGTCTGTATTTTTTAGAATAATTTTTTAGGCAGTAGCTTCCATTGTTTAAAATCAGTTAATTTAGAAATCGAATTAGTATTATTTAGTGGTTAGCAAAAGAGATTATTTTTTAAATTGGGGCCTGCTACTGAGAAGAAGCATGTGAATAGTCAATATTTTTTCTTTTGGAGTAGCTTTGTAATTTATGTAAAAATGATTCGTAGTCATTCTGAAATTTCCAAAGTACAAAAATGGACCTGAAACTCACATAAAATTCTGCCCTCTAATTCTTCAGTGTTTGAATGAAATACTTCTAACATCTCTCAGTTTAGAGAGATAGAAAAAATATATAACATTACATAAATATGATAATACTATGCATACTGGGTTTTCCCCTTCCTCTTTATCATGTTATGGATGTTATTTCATGTTGGTAAATACACATCTACATTTTTTTCACATCTACATTGTTTTTAATGGCTGCTCAATTTTACACTGTTTATAAGAACTATATATAGTCTGTTTATATTGTATTTAACCAGTTCTTAATGGAAGATGCTTAGGTTATTTGTGTTATTTTCATTTAATGAAAAGATTAGGATACATTGTAGTATGTACTTTATGATAGCAACTGTATTAAATAGCCAAGTGTGTAGGAAAAATAAAGAAAGTATACCAAGATTAGAATAGAATTTTGTTTGGTGAAATTATGTGATTTTTTTTCCTTATTGTTTCATAGAATGCTTAGATTTTCCAACAAAAGTATTTTTTTAAGTTATGTTTTGATGATGAGTAGGCAAATGTCTACATATTGAGTCTAAAATTAGAACAGAATTAAGAATCAATAACCAAAGTGAGATTGCTAAATCAGATAAAGCAGTTATCCATATTGAACTAAATGCATTCATCTGCTGTTTGAACATGAGCTGAGGACAGAAATGTCTACATCTGTGCTCTGTTCACAAGTGGTTTCTTGCTTAATCCCTTTTTGTATGAAGCAAATTCGTTTGAAACTCATGTTAGTGTTGTCAAACTAGGAGGCAGACATCTTTTACAGCTCTCGTCAGACGATCTTTTTGATGGAGCTTGTCTCCACTTTGGTTCCTTGGAAATACATTACAGTCTGCCTACATTGGCTATTAATAAGGTATAAAATAACATGTACAGGTTTCCCCTGCTATCCGAAAATAGAGCATTCTATGAAATCTTTCTTAAGTTGAAATGGCATAAAGTGGAGAAATAAGTACCATTTAGTAAAAGTGAAAAATCTCCTTGGATTCCATTCAGTTAGCAAAAACAGGTAAAAAAGCCAAGTAGCATAAAGACAACTTTCAGATAGCTGGGGAAATTTAAATTTCTATTTAGTTCCCTCTTCTGTTCCTAACCAGTATCTTTTAGAAAATAATACCATGTGTTTTTGTGGTTATTTTTGTCATCAGAGTAAAATTTTGATCTTGCTTACATGTTAGGGGGTGGGGAAGAGTGGGGAATGTTAATAGATGACCAAAATAATCTGCATTCGCTACATAGAAATTTTAAACGTATAAATAATAATATAGAAAACATAATACTTGTTTTGCAGATGTTCGGTTACTGCTTAATAATGATAATCTTCTCAGGGAAGGAGCAGCTCAGTAAGTATTATATATTATATTAACTAGTGATATGATGAGAAAAAATGTTTTAAAGGTGGTTTTTAAGCACTAATCCCTGAAATAGATATTTGCACATCAAGTTTAAATATATGTTACATCTATGTACTTAACTAGAAGATAAATATTTTTGATGAGGTTTAAATATATATGTGTATTATATGTGTGTACCTAGCTAAAAGAAATTTTTGATCACAGAGGGACATAGGGACACAATTATGACATGAAATTCTCTTTTCATTGAGTATTTGGCTTATATACTCAATACTACATTTTGGCATTTGCAAGCTTGGATAAAATTATTTGGAAACTTTGATTTTTGAAATTGTGATTGCTTTTTTTTTGCAGGTTTTACTTTTTTGTTAAGTGTTTGACCCTAATAGATTTTCGAGGATTAGGAGTTTTATTCTTTCAAAAGTACCTAATATAGTACCTGATGCAAAAAACTAGGCAGTTCTAAATCCTAGTATATCATCTTTGGACCAGTGACCATAATCATGACTTGCTACAACTGTCTTAGGATTTCAGAGAAATAATTGATTTTCTTCTCTATTCCCACCTCCAAAAGTAAGGTGGAGACTCATATAGTAGGCTAACCAATTCCATTACTCATTGAAAATGACGAAATTAAACAGATTTTTAGGTGCCTTGCAAAGAGTGTTTAGTATCCATTCAGACACCTTTTCTCATGCTAATATTGTACCCGATATGTGAAATCCTGAACAATGGAGGAAATTTCATCTTACTCTATTTTTGTAATGTTTCAAGGCTTTATCAGATCTGTCTTTACAGTTAACCCTAATGAAGGTAGAGGTTCAACAGACTTTTAGGCATATCTGATTTTGCTTCTGATTTAAATTCCTGTTTTTTTTAGTAGCAACTGTTAATTATTTGTTTTTAATTCCAGTATAATTAACATATAGTGTTATATTAGTTTCAGTTGTACAATATAGTGATTCAGCAATTCTGTACATTAGTCAGTACTCATCACAATAAGTGTATTCTTAATCCTCTTCACCTCTTTCACCCTATTTATTACTTTTATTCTGAGAAAATGTACGTAATATAAAATTTACCATTTTAATTATTTTTAAGCATACAGGTCTTTGGCATTAAGTGCATTCACATTGTGTAACCATCACCACTATCCATCTCCAGAATTTTTTTTTCCCCAAACTAAAACTCCATACACTTTAAACGGTAATTTCTCATTCTCCTCTCCCCTCTGCCTCTGTCAACTACCATTCTATTTTCTGTCTCTATGAATTTGACTTCACTAGGTGTCTCATAGAAGTGGAATCATACATTATTTGTCATTTTGTGGCTGGTTTATTCTACTAAACATAATGTCTTTGGGGTGATCCATGTTGTAGCACATGTCAGAATTTCTTTTTTAATACTGAGTTATTTATATACCACATTTTGCTTATTCATCTGTCAGTGGACATATAGGTTGCTTCCATTCCTGTTGATTATTTTATTAAAGTGCTTTATAGAAATCAATTTAGTCTGTATTTTTGACTTTAGTGATTAGCTTCTGAGCGAATGGCTGCTTATTCCTAAATTCTTTAAACCTTATTTAAATTATTTGTGTATTCAAGTAAAATTAATTTTCTTTATAATAGCATATGGCATGTTGACAAAAATTTTATGAAAGCAAAGAAAATGTACAGCATTTACAACTTCTAACAACAGTACTTTCAAAGTACTTTTCCTCTCAGTTCCCTATGGTAAATAAATGTGTGGGTTGTTTCAGATAGGTGCAAGAATTAGTGGGGGTTTTTTTGTTGTTGTTATCAGTTAAGAAAGTGAGAAACTTGATTTATTGAAAGAACAGGAGTTTTTCCCCACAGAATAAAGTTTAATGAAGGTCAAAAGAAATATTCATAATTATGTAAGTGGTATGAAATAGCTATACATTTGACTCAAAAGTGATTAAAGTATTGAAATTTTATTTGTCCAAAGAAGTACTTATCTGATGATGGTTTTTACATTTAAATTAAATAAATTGGATTTGTTCTATAAAGAAATTAGAATGTGATCTACATTTCTCTTTTATTATGAAACATGGGGACACTTGTCCACATTTCAAGAGATATATACATTGAAATGCTCAATACTATGATATTCTAAGGAAATGAGTCTGAAGAAATCAGTAATGATAAAACAAGATGCTTATTGTATGATACCAAGAAAAAAACATCAAAACCTTAAGTAGAAAGTTCAGATTGTCTTGCATGTAGTTATACTATCAGTAAGTGATTGCTAACTAGATGAACACTTAGAGAAAATGTTGTTTCTTTTTGTTGACTTCAGTGGTATTCTTCATTCCAAATTTCTCAAAACTATTCATTTGAATTCATTTTGTAAACATTTGAGGGTATCTGTGAAATAAGAAATATACCTTAAATCATTGATTGACTTTAGAACTATGTAACTCTGGTTCACAGTGTCCTCTCCATGAAATAATTTTCAAGCAAAAATAGTATTATCCTCATTGTTCACCAGACTTGGTTCTGAATTACTTTTAAAATATCTCCAAACCTGGTTTGTCCTCTAAAGAAGATTCATCGCCTATCATCGAGGCTGTCCAAAACTATATAACACAAGCTTGCAAAGCATTGTAAAAAAACATTTAGAATGTGTCCTAGTGGCAGTTTCACCAAAGGAAGTGCATAGCTGTAGTCGCATTTCTTCTTCAGTTGTGATCTTTTTTTTTTTTTTAAAGATTTTATTTATTTGAGAGAGAATGAGAGACAGAGAGCACGAGAGGGAAGAGGGTCAGAGGGAGAAGCAGACCCCCCGCTTAGCAGGGAGCCCGTTGTGGGACTCGATCCATGGACTTCAGGATCATGACCTGAGCCGAAGGCAGTCGCCTAACCAACTGAGCCACCCAGGCGCCCAGTTGTGATCTTTGATACTGAATTTCTTTTGTACAAGTACTTCTCTTTCTTACATATATGTACTTCTTTCTACCTTTCTTTCCCCTTTTCCCTGTTGCTTTAACTCTTTTAGTCTTATTTTTCCCCTCTTTTATCTTTCTGTAAGGGGAAAAACATGGCTATTATTTCTAAGAGTGGTTTTAACGGGATATTTTTCCTAAGAGCACAAGTTCAGTGTGTTTCATAGTATGTAAAAGACATAGTGAAGCATCAGTACTGTCAAGTCTAACTTTTAAATACCCAGAAAGAGCCTTTTATTCAACTGACGGATGAATGCCAGACTTCACTATGATGATGATATAAATAATTAGCCTCTTACGGATTTTCTAATGGGAAGTCAGATATGTTTAGTATTGGGCCAAATTAAATAAAATATCATAATACAGGCATATCAAAGGCCTTTGGAGCCCAAAGGGAGAAATTTTTAATTTCTCTTTAGAAGTGGTTTTGAGCTGAATTTAAATGATGAACAGGGTTTGAATAGTAAATAGGGAAATAATGTGGCTAAACTGAAGGAGACACCTGGTGAAAAGTATAGTATGTGACTGGTGCATGACTAATAGTAATGGGTATAAAAATCTAAATACAGCAACAGGTATTTAGAAATGGATGATTGGGCTATAGAACTCTATGAGGGCAGAGAAGTCACTGTTTTCACTGTGTCTGGGTGGAGGGGTGGTTGAGTAGATGATGAGTAGGTAGATGGAATAAGTTTCTGAACTGGAAGGGATTTCGGAAGTCAGCTAGTCCAATAAGTGGGCCCCATGCTAGCTAATAACAGGGTTTGGACAGAACCTAGGTATTCTATATTCTGACTCCTCTGTTGGTGAGTGTCTTTACCACTATACCGTGTAACTGTCACCTATTTTACTTGCTTTGAGCATTTAAGATAAAATTTTATCTATTTTCATACTCCGTTGTCTCCTTTTCAGATTTCCTATTCTTCCCTCACTCCCAAGTAGATAGATGGATGGGGTTTGATATTCTGGGCAGTAAAAGGCCTAGGACCAAGTTACTATCTACATTTATTATTTACATATGTCTTTCACTGGAAAATGAATCCTCCTTTTTTTTTAAGATTTTATTTATTAATTTGAGAGAATGAGACAGAGCCGAGAGAGCACAAATGGTGGGGGGAGGGGTGGTAGACGGAGAAACAGATGCCCCGCTGAGCAGGGAGCCTGATGTTGAGCTTGATCCCAGGACCCTGAGATCATGACCTGAGCCGAAGGCAGACGCTTAACTGACTGAGCCACCCAGGCGCCCTGAATCCTACTTTCAAGTGATCTAGAATACATTTTTTTTTTTTTTAATTTCAAAGTACTTTTGAAATAAATTCACTTAAGGGTTGATAACTGCCTGGCTATGTTGAGGCTATTCCTAGAAAAATTATAGTTTTAATGAATTAAGGAAATCAGAAGTGAGTAGATACTGCCCTCTCCCCTATCATGCATTTCTATGTTTACCCCCATCTTTTTTGAACATGCAGTGTCAGGAATTTGACAGGTAGTAATTTAATTCTCTTTTGCTGTTTTTACATTTACTAGTCTGCTGTTAATTTATCAGTGATGGCTTTACTCAACCAAACATTCCTTTCTAGAGGAGACTCAAGTAGCTAATAACCTGAAAATTCAGTGGATGTCTTGCCATCTAGAAAACCTTCCAAGTAGATACATTAAGTTGACAGATGTATTTTTAAATTTTTAAAATACTCAATATCTTTCTGTTAAGTGTAGAAAAAAACCTCAGGTTATAGATTTAATAAAATATAATATGGTCCTACCATATTTTTCAGATACTTTTTGTACTATGAGACTCTTTCCTATAAATGTATTACATAATTATGTAGTATTACTTAACTCATATGAGAGTAGAGAGAGGCTTTATTCTTGAATCCATCTTGTCACCATTTCTTAGTTTAGACTCTTTAGTTCTAATATGGACATTTGCCTAATAACAACCTAACTGCCTTTTTTTTCCCCCTTGGCTCTAGTTGCTCCGCTGTCCAGTTGTCATACACACTGCTGCCAAATTAATCTTCTTTAGAGGTAGTTAGGTTCTTTCTCAGCTTCAGTGATTCTGCTCTGCCTCCCAAATGAAGTAATTATTCTATCAATCAGGGCCTTTCATTTTAATTCAGTAAATACAATTGAACACATGCTCTGTGTCAGGCATTGAGCTTGATGCTTTCTGTGATGTGGACCTAACCCATCTTCTCATGTGTTTCGTTTATCCTGGTCCCTCTATTTGAAATACTCTCTTCTTCCCATCCCTCCAGTTTCTGCAGGAGCGCCTACTCATTATTTCAGGGCCATTTCTCAGTGTCAGATTTCTAAAGAAATCACCCCTAAAGCTCTTATTATTTTTTAAAATTTGTAGTCTCCTTGATACTTTCTTTATTGGTCATTGTTTTATAGTACTTTCTACTTCATGTTATGGTTATATTTGTCTACTGTCTCTCCTACCCAACTGTTAAGTCCTCTCGTCATAGTCTGATTACTCTTTACATCTCTCATAGCACCTACTCTTTTTCCTGGTATGTTGTATACTCAGTATATACTCAAGTAATTAGATATGTATATTACAGATGGCTAACCTTTAATAACGGGCCTTTTTCTTTTTTAGTGCATTTGCACAGTATAACTTGGACCAGTTTACTCCAGTAAAAATTGAAGGTTATGATGATCAGGTATGTTGCATATGAACACGGGATCTGACTTTTCTTTGTTTCAATTATAATGGTTAATATATTCTGCAAGAACTTTGAAGTGGTATGTTTAAAGATACAGTGTTCATTTTAATCATGGCCATGATTACTTATGGGCAAAGTAATTGAAAATTTGGGTTTTTTTGTTGAGACCAATAATACTACTAGCAGAAAATCCCTTTTAGAAGTATTCAAATGTAATTATTTTAAGATTTTAGAAAATAATTGCTTTAAATCTACTTTCTTGTTTTTTATAGGAAAAAAAATCAATCCTATATTAATCCAAAATCTAGAATATATATTAGTAAGATTTATATCATATTTTGGTTGCTCTGGAATTCTACAGTTCTTCATGTGAGTAACTTAGCATTTAGTAATTATTAAATCTTTTCTTTCCAAAGTGAAAGTTAGAATTGCTAAGAAAAGCCACCAAAGTTCTCTAATTTTGGTGTTTTTTTGGGGGGGGTTTTGGGGTTTTTTGGTGTTTAGAGTTATTAATAATTGAACAGTGATTATATTCATATTGTGCTTGTGTGAAGCACAACTTAATATAAAACAGTATGAAGAAGGACCTGGTAGGTGGAAGATGAGAGAGTTGTAACAAATTCTTAGTGGCTAATTATCTCAAAGCTTGCATTTGGCATTATTCATTATGTAATATGTAGTCTTGTATTTACAGGGGGAAAAGAGAGCCTAGATAGAAGATGACTTGTAACTGCAGAGAAAACAAGCTTATATATATATATATATAGGCATGCGTGTGTGTATGTGTACACACATATATATGAAGCTATATAATGTTTCATTTTATGAATCTCCTATATTTATTTCCTTGGGAGATTTTTGGGTTTTTTTTTTTGTCTTTCTTTTTCTTTAACTATAAACAAAGCTGTATTGGGTGCCTGGGTGGCTCTGTTGGTTGAGCGACTGCCTTCGGCTCAGGTCATGATCCTGGAGTCCCGGGATCGAGTCCCACATCGGGCTCCCTGCTCGGTGGGGAGTCTGCTTCTCCCTCGGACCCTCTTCCCTCTCGTGCTATCTCTCATTCTCTCTCTCTCAAATAAATAAATAAAATCTTAAAAAAAAAAAAAACTAAAACAAAGCTGTATTGTAAATCTTTGTACCTCTGGGCACATTGACCATTATTTTCTTAAAATACATCCCTAAAAGAATATTTGTCAGATAGCTCCCAAACTCATTTATGAACCTAGCATAATATTACTACTTAAACCTAATAAAGATAAAACAGAAAATCAAACTAATCTACATATGACCATAGATTTAAAAACTTTATTTTTTTTTTTAAACTTTAGATAGATATTAACAAATAGCATCCTGGAATATATCAAAAGAATGACAAATCAAGACTAAATAGAATCTATTACAAGAATGCATGAGTGATTTCATGTAAGGCAGTATACTGGTCTTATCTATTAATCAACAAATCAGAAGAACTTTATGATGCATCAGTAGACAAAAGGAATTTGAAAAATCCAGCAGCTAGTCCTTATTACAAAAACCCTGAGTAATCTAGGGATAGAAGAAGACTTTTTAAATCACAGTAAATATCATAGACTACAAACACTAAAATAATTGTAGTTAAAATAGAAATTTGCCAGGTTTGTCTGCTTCTTATTATCTAACCTAATAGCGGTATAGCAAATAAGAGAATGAGAACTTTTAAAGATTTCTAAAAGTAAAGAAAACTCTTAGGTTACATGATTTATATAATCAACCTCCCAAAAAGAAGGAACTACTAGACTTAAAACAATTTTGTGAGATGGCTGAATTTAAGGTAAGTATACAAAACTCATTAGCTGTCCTCTATTGCACCAACTAAGTACTTTATACTAGAAGTGGTTGGAGGGGGAGGAATTCTATTTTATTTGGTAAAACCATGTGTTAACCTAGGAATAACCTTAACAAGAAAGACAAAGGATTGTGAAGACAATGGTGGTTGTCTTCTTAAAACACAAAACAGGTGGGCTCCTGGGTGGCTCAGTCGTTAAGCGTCTGCCTTCAGCTCAGGTCATGATCCCAGGGTCCTGGGATCGAGTCCCACACCGGGCTCCTTGCTGAGCGGGAAGCCTGCTTCTCCCTCTCCCACTCCCCCTGCTTGTGTTCCTGCTCTCACTGTCTCTCTCTGTCAAATAAATAAATAAAATCTTTAAAAAACAAAAAAACAACACAAAACAGGATATGAACAGTGGAAAGGCAACGCCACATTCCATTTTGAAAAAAGTTAAATTATTTAAAAACTAAAATACAAATTTATTGCAATTTGATTAGAATCCTAATAGTTTTTGTAATTGGTCAAATGTTCATGAAGTTTAGGCAAAAATAAAATGTAAAAACAGAATGGGTAAGAGAATTCCTTTACTGGTTAGCAGAACAGGCTTTACAACCAATGTAAAATCAAATCAGGATGGTTTTGTATAAAGTAGACAAAGAGATCAGTACAGCAGTATATAGAACCAGAATTTAGTCCCAGAATATATGAAAATTTTTATGCATGAGAAGATTATAATTTAGATAGACATAATAAAAGATTGGCACAACTGGTTTCTGTTAAGGTTAATTTGAACCTCTGTCTCATTCAACATAGAAATAAATTTCAGGTGGATTAAAAATGTGTAAATTTTAAAAGAGTCTGTATGTACAATAATAGGGCAGGGAGACCATCTTAAGTCTGGAAACCCAGAAACTATAGAAGAAAAGATGGATATTTTGCTACGTAATAATTATTTTAACCATAAAATAAGGTATTTAAGCAAAGGTATTTAAGCAAAGGACTCTTATAAATTAATAAGAAAATTAAAAAAACACATTAAAGAATATTTGCTTACAGAAAAACAAATGGCCACCACACAAAAAGATTTAAATCTGTCAGTAGTCAGAGAAATGTAATTAATGAGATATTTTATACCCATCAGACTGAAAAAAGGATCGTATCCCTATTGATGGGTGTAATGTAAGAGGAATATATCTTATATACTGTTCATAAAAATGCGGGTTGTCACAGCCATTTTTTTGGAAATATATTAAAAATTAACATACAAATCCTTTACCTACTCTCCCCACTGCTGGGAATGTAAGAGAAATGGAAGCATCTAATGGAAATAAAAACATGAGCATGTTAAAATATATGTACAAAAGTACTTATTTTAACATTTTTAATGTACTCATTCCTCCCCCCAAAAAGAAAACAGCCTGGAAATAAAAGAGATGGTCCATCAATAGAGGAATGGCAGAATAAATTAAGTTATATCCACATTATGGGATATTATACAGCCATTAAAAAGAACGGTGAGAGGTTTACCAGTTGACTTTGAAGGATTTCTGTAAGGCGTTGATATTGAAAAAAGCCAGATGCAGAAAAATATGTGTACGTGTGCATTTTCATTCCATTCTGGTAAAGCAATGACCAAAAAAACCCTGTATGCGTGTATATGTATACATAGATGTGTTTCTATTTATCTATGTGGGATTGTATGGCTGAAAAAAATTGAGAAGGATATATCCTCTGTGTACATGATTTATATCAGAGGGTGGGGGAGGTTCTGACATAGGTAAGGAGTCAAAGATTAGGAGAGTTGCAAGGGAAGAACAAGAGGGGAAATTTTGAAATAAAGCACAGAATGTCACATTTATGCATGTACAACTTAAATGTATATAAAAAAATAAATTACATGTTTAAAAATTTGAAAGTCAGTTGAAAACAACTGGTAATGAATAGATTATAAAAACAAGCAGACCCTTCACAGTAGATGAGATTGTGGGCCCAGGAACAATATAGGACACACTGAAGAGTATTCTCTCTGTGTTAAAGCTATTCTTGTAAAAGCTATTATGTAACCATTCTCATTGAAGGTTATTACCAGTTCCTTAGTTTCGAGAACTGGAAACTGATAATGGAAATAGTAAACTGTTTATAGCTGTAAAAAAACCCAAAAATTCCAGCAATATATTAGAAAATGCATTCTTTTCACCAGGTAGCCAGAAGTTATTTTGGGAGAAAATCAGATCCGCTGATCTTAGCTGAACGAGAATAGCCTCATTTGAATTATTATAGTTGTGCCAAATAGTTAAACCAATTGCTTGAAGTAGAATTATTTTACAGTGTTAAGGACAAAACTTAAGTGAATGTATATTAATATATATCAGTACTTAAATGCTATTTTAAATACTTTTTTTTTTTTTTTCAAAATTCATCACACCATTGAAGGTATTGATAACAGAACATGGCGACTTGGGGAATGGAAAGTTTTTGGATCCCAAAAACAGAATCTGTTTCAAATTTGATCACTTAAGAAAGGAAGCAACTGATCCAAGACCATATGAAGCAGAAAATGCGGTCGAATCATGGAGAACTTCAGTAGAAACTGCTCTCCGAGCTTATGTAAAAGAACATTATCCAAATGGGGTCTGCACTGTAAGTAATCAATATACATATTTTTCTTTTGTCGTATGTAAATATGACTGTTTTTATGATCTCCTGAAATCTGTAACTTACAGAACTGACATTTTATAACTTGCCGTTTTTTTTTTCTTTAAGTAAATATTTCTAAGAATGTTTTTTCGATGGGGCCCCTGGGTGGCTCAGTCGTTAAGCGTCTGCCTTCGGCTCAGGTCGTGATCCCAGGGTGCTGGGATCGAGCCCTGCATAGGGCTCCCTGCTTGGGGGCCTGCTTCTCCCTCTCCCATTCCCCCTGCTTGTGTTCCCTCTCTCGCTGTGTCTCTCTCTGTCAAATAAATAAATAAAATCTTAAAAAAAAAAAAAAGTTTTTTGAGAAACTCTAAATAATATATTATGATTGCCCAAAATGGAAAAATCGTTGTACCTTGAATTAAATCCAAGTAGGAATTTTCCATACATTGATTAGAGCCTGATGCTATAAGATTCTTTCATCTCATGTTAATAACTCATCTCAGTAAGTTTAGATCACACTTCCTTTCAAGATCTTAGAACAAATTAAATTATTTGGAAGTGGAATCATGTCCTTCCTGTTTTATAATCAAGTCTCTTTTTTAATGTTCTTTCATAGTTTTAACCTGTTTTTTATATTTTCAGTATGAAATATGGCAGAAATTAGGAGTGCTTTTTTTTTTTCTTTCTTCTTTTTCTTCGTAAGATTGTTTATACCCAGGTAGGCTTTTCAGGCGCCCCCACCCCCAGTTTGTTTGCATTTCTATGATCTTCTCCATAGTCAGGGAGATCTTTTGAAATACAGATCAGATCATGAAAATACCATGCTGGAAATCATTCAAAGATTTTTCTATTACACTTAGAATAGAGTGCAGGCTTCTGAACATGGCTTTCACAACCTTCTGGACCTGGCCTCTGCCTACCTCTGGAACCTAAGGTTACCATATATCCTGTTTATATTTGCTGTCCCAACATAATTATTAATATTACCAGTAGCATCCCATTTCACTCTCAGAAATTTTCTGGTTAGGACAAAAATTCATACGATCCTCTTAAGTATCTAGCTCTCAGTAATTACTTGAGGAAAAATTACAGCATAACCTAAAATACTTTACAAATTCCTTGAATTATAACCTTGTTGATTAGGATTATTTTGGAAGAATAACTCAAGAATAGATAGATTGTGTTAGAGAGTCCTTATTTGCTCCTGGAGGATTGAAAGGTACAAATTATCCATGACTTTTAAAGCAATAAACAAGAGGTGAAATAATATAATCATACCATTATAGGCATTCTCTTAATGACCTTTCTTGGTTAAAAGTAAGTTAATTTTCTTACCTCTGTACTAATACTTTGTAAAATGACTGAAGAAATGACAATCTCTAAGATTGTGAAGGAAACAAAGATGATAAACAGAGTGTAGGTCCAGTTTTTATTTGTGTGGAAACAGCCAGATTGGTATCTACATGTTTAAAATAAATTGTCTACATTTCTTGTGATACCTGTATTTGGAATGAAAAGTATGGTATGTCTAGGATGCTTGTGAATATTTTTAGAGTATAATAATGAGTTTTACTTTATAAATTTTGTGCTTTTTTATGATTCACTAAGAATTTGTGATTATAGGTGTACATGTTTGAGTACTTGTTTTTCTAGCTACTATATTAGAATGATGACCTACTCTCTATTCTTTTATATGTTCCTACCAAAGTGGTATACATTTTTTTTTTTGGTGCAGGTGTTTAAAGCTGACTGTTCTGTGGCCCTGAATTCACTCTTCTCTTTATTTTCTTTGCCATTAAGGTATATGGTAAAAAAATAGATGGACAGCAAACCATTATTGCATGCATAGAAAGCCATCAGTTCCAAGCAAAAAACTTTTGGTAAGTTAAAATTTTGTATTTCAGGGAATGTTGACATTTACATCCTTTGTAGTCCTTGCTTTATTGGTTGGACCTGTACCTGTTTGTGTATAACTAAGTGCAGTCTAAACATAAAACTTCAGCCTTTAGATATAAGAAAGGTATTTGCTTCATAATCAGCATAATTATTTAAAGGTAGTGGTAAATCCATTGACACTCAGTGAATAAGAGCGTGGGATTGTATTGAGTGTTTTTAGAAACTTGGAAGCAGCATCCTAAGGGAACATTTGTGCCTGTGAGCAGACCAGTTGGCAGGCCCTTATGCTCATTCTGAGAAGGGGTTTTTCCTGAATGAGACTTAATATGGGAGAGGAGGACGGAGGTAAGTATAAAGGGAAAGAACGATTTTTCTGGTGAACTTTGGGGGCTCTGAAGTAGATATTTTCATGTGGATTGCTCTGTGCTTGGTTGGCCAAGGTAAGGAAGTAATGACATATTTTATACAGTGAGGCAGATTATAATCATCATTTCCTTTTAATTAATTTATAATTTTGTAATCAAATTTGTTGATTATTCCTTATAAAAGTCCAGTCCCCTAAAGCACTAACTTTCCCTTTTAATCTTGGACCTGTGACAAGTTGCTGAGTCTTTGTATTTTTAGACAAGACTATTTCTGAGACATCTCCTTTATAAAATTCTGAGGCTCTACAAGACTCTATAAATTCACAATTGAATGAAATCTTTACCTTTACCCTCTTTTTTTGTTAATACATGCTAAGATCATCAGAGTAAGTATAGTCATAATATTTGACTTGTTTAGCCAAGTTGGTTGGTTGTGCTCTGGAGGCTAAAATAAGAGGTATCAGTAACCCCTGTGGACTAATTTGGTTCATGGCCCAAGATTGCTCCACTATTTAACCATCTTAGAAATAAATGCAAGGTTACAAGGTTAACCAAGAACATTTGGAGAAATGCAGATCCATTATCACTGAAGGAAAATCAATTCCATATGTAAACATATGCCTTAATGACAAGCTGCAGTTCCCTAAAGATTCTGGTATATAAAGTTACTTTTATGGACTTAATAAAAGTGTAGTTTCTCCATATTAGGCATAAAAACTTGTAGCAGTAACCTACCAATATCCTAAAGAAAGAAATTTATTAATTTATGCAATTTGTGCCAAGATATGTATCATAAAATCAGTCTTGTTGAGACTGTATTAAAGGAAAATTCATGTTACTAAGTTTTACTTTAATATATATTGGAGATGTTACAGTGAATTTACTAGTTTTCAAAAATAGAATTTATTTGAGCTTTAGCCTATATAAAATGAAGATGTTTGTTTTTGAGTTCTCTATTCTTACTAATTTGCTTCACATATCTGAATTTTTCTCCTAAACTACCACAATGAACATTATATCATGGAAGTTAAAAGTGACTTCCACTTTTTAGAAAAGATAAATTCTAAATGACATTCAAAGTGCTAGACTGCTAGACATAACATACTACAATAATCTCAGTAAAATCTAAATATTTTGCTACAAAGAAATAGACTTCAGTTCGCCTAAAAATACAGATAGAATAAAAATCAAAAGATATTAGTCATGGACGTTTAATAGATTTCACTAGGACATTCTCTTCTTGGTCTCTACTCTTTCCCTAATGTCTACCCATATTGGAGGCTTAATAAATGTTTGTTGAATAAATACACATTTGTAATTACAGTGTTAATAGAAGAGAAGGGAAGAATATACATAAAGGCTAGGACATCTTGACTTGTGTACTCCACTGATAAAATAGTATGACTCAGCATCATTTACCGTAACTATATAGTAATAATGCCTTTGGAAGGATTTTTTGAAATAGTTCTTAAATTGGTACCAGTACTAGATTTGGAATTCCTTTTTTCTTTTTGTAATCAGTGTTTATATATGCATATTGTCATAATAAATCAGAAATGTATATGCTTAGAATTTACTAGTACTCAACACTAATACCTAAATAAAAGGAATAACTTCTTTTGGAATCATGAAATAAAAATAAATAGACCTAGGTTCTTTGTCCAACTGAGTGAGCTACTTATGGATAATTTTGAATGTCACTCAAAATCAAGGCATGGTATAAAATTCTCTTTTATTCTATAGATCATACACATTGTTCTAATGGTAGTACTTTTCAAATGTCAAGTGTTAACTTTAGGTATGAGAGTACTCGCATTCTGTAGATTTTCATGGTTGGGTAGATTGCAAGAATATTATAAGGAACCCAGAAGTAATTTTATAGCAAAGCCAGTATAATGATTCGATAACTGTGACTTTTTCAGAATCATATGCTATTGTTCACAAAAACCTAACAGGTCTAAACTTGCCTTTCAGAATATGTGTTTAGCCGACAAAGAGCCAATAGAGGTAGAAGGAAAGTTGCCATGAAAAGGCCAAAAAAAGGATAAAATTCATTATCTGGGAGACAGAAATGAATAACAACATACTGGTTGCTTGTTTGTAATGTCACAATTTCCTACCATTAATATGTGTTAATTTGTAATTTTGAGAAGTGAGAGGAGGAGGTACCTTTTATGTGGAAATTTAATCCTAAAACTGGAAAAGAAAAAAAATTCTGACACTTATAACTCCTTATATAAGGCCTTTCTCTTTCCAGATATCAAAACCTTTAAAATACTGTATTACTACCCATTCTTTTTATTTTTTTTTTTAAGATTTTATTTATTCGACAGAGAGAGAGAGCGGACACAAGTGGGGGAGTGGGAGAGGGAGGGAGAAGCAGGCTTCCCGCGGAGCAGGGAGCCCGATGCAGGGCTCGATCCCGGGACCCTGGGATCATGACCCGAGCCTAAGGCAGATGCTTAATGACTGAGCCACCCAGGTGCCCCACGAGCCATTCTTTTTAAAGTTATTTGGTACTTTGTATTATTCAGTGGATTTCAGACTGCATTGATGTGTATTTGTGAAAGCCCTTGGTAATCTGAACATTTGTTCAGTTTATTCTTTTTTTTTATTATACTGAACACAATGTTACATTAGTTTCAGGTGTATTATATAGTGATTTGGTAAGTTTGTAGTTACGCTGTGCTCATCACAAGTATAGCTGCCATCTGTCACCATACAACGTTATTACAGTCCTTTTTATTTTTATCCTTTTATCACCTTATTAATTCCATAACTGGAATCCTGTATCTCCCATTCCCCTTCACCTATTTATTCAATTTATTCTTAATTAAAGCATAAGTAGTCAGTTGTGAAGAAGTAGTTTAAAATTTTTTTCCAAGGGCGCCTGGGTGGCTCAGTCGTTAAGCGTCTGCCTTCGGCTCAGGTCATGATCCCAGGGTCCTGGGATCGAGTCCCACGTTGGGCTCCCTGCTTGGCGGGAAGCCTGCTTCTCCCTCTCCCACGCTCCCTGCTTGTGTTCCCTCTCTTGCTGTCTCTCTCTCTGTTAAAAAATAAATAAAAAAATCTTTAAAAAAAAAAAATAAATAAAATTTTTTCCAGAAGTAGCTTACATAATTTAGTTTTGAACTGTATTTTAAGCCTTAGCTTTAGAATTCTTTAGTTGCATCCATTGTATAGGTCCTTTCTTATTAATAGGATGAAGATTAAATGTAGTTCATTACTGAACTTAACCCTTTGATTCTTTCAAATATTTCAGTAATTAGGGGCACCTGGGTGGCTCAGTTGTTGAGCGTCTGCCTTTGGCTCAGGTCATGATCCCAGGGTGCTGGGATCGAGCCCTGCATCGAGCCCTCCATCGGGCTCCCTGCTCACCGGAAAGCCTGTGTGTTCCCTCTCTCACTGTGTCTCTCTCTGTCAAATAAATAAATAAAATCTTTAAATAAATACATACATACATAAATATTTCAGTGATTAAAAAATGAATATCCAGCATCCATCCCCCACACTTTCATACAGTAGCATTAAATTTAAATCTGGAACTTAAAATTTATTCAAATTATTTTCCCTACCTTATTTACAGCTGCTGTTTTTATTTTTAAGGAATGGTCGTTGGAGGTCAGAGTGGAAGTTTACAATCACCCCTTCAACCACTCAGGTGGTTGGCATCTTGAAAATTCAGGTATGAAACAAAAAGAATTTGTTTACTGATCTCTAGATGATTATGAACAGAGAAACAACTAATTCATAAATTTACTTTTTCTCAGTACACAGTAACCATTTCTAGATCTTTGTTTTGAGGTATTGGGAAAAACAAGTAGTGTTGATTTCATCTTTCATCTTTCAAATAACCTTGTACTTCATTCCCTAGTCATCAAAAATATGCAAGGATAGCTTACAGATTCTAAAAACATAGCTAAAATTAGATGCTGCCATTTGGTCTGCTCTTCAAACAATTTGTTCATCCAAGCATCCTCTGAGTTTGAGTTGTACTGTTCTGTCTCCCGAATTGGGTGGAATTGGGTGAGGTATAATATTAATATATGTATGTGTATATAGATGTATAAATATATATTTATTATGTGTGTATTTTAATATATGTAGATATGATATTTATCCTTTAAGTATCTTCTGTACTCGCATTTGGTTTCTTATAAGAAACCCACCATAATTGAATTCTTTGACTCATTTAATGTAAACTCAAATGTTTATATAGAACATTTGATAAATAAGACCAAGTATTTGAATATAAATATTACTAAACAAGTTAAAGGAAAAGACTGACCAGTCTTTTTTCTCTTGGTTTACTTATTTATTCAGTTTATTTCATTAACTATCATGAAAGGTATTTTGCTAAAAGCCATAAAGGAATAAAGATCAATCAGATACGGCTGCTCTATCATCTGACTCCACTATACATTCCTGGTCTTTATCCTATTGCTTTTATGTCTTGTTATGACTGTCCATTAGGGGCTAGAGAATAGAGGCTAAGAGCGTGGGTTTTGAAAGCAGGCTGCCTGAGTTTGAATCCAGCTCTGTCTGTTATTTGTATGACAATAGGAAGTCATTTAATACTAGCTATTTTTGCTTGTTTCCTCATGAATCTAAAAAAGAAAACAGCAATACAAAGCTCATATGAATGTTTGAAGATTAGTTGATATGGGCAAAATGGTTAGAACGGAGCCAGACACGAAGTGCTTGATGAATGATGACCATTACTATTGACATTATTCTTTCCTTCAGCTGGGTCTTAGTAGCTTTCACCTGGATAATTTCTAAAATGGTGCCTCTGTTGAGCCAAAGCTTGTTGAGAGCTGGGATTGTCTGTTGAGAGCTAGGATTATCTGACAGTTCTGTCTTCATCATTTAGCGTGATGCCTAGCATATAATTGTTATATAATATGTTGACTTTCTGGACCCTTTGCCATCCCACAATCTATTTTTCACGTTGCCTTCATCACAAAGATGATTTTTAAAAATTTAAATCTGGATATGTTACTTTCTTACTTAAGACCACTCTCACTTACTAGATAGTCCAGACATATTTACATGGTACACAAGGCCCAAAGTTGACTTATATTTACCTCTTTCTCCAGCCACTCTTTTTCCTCCCCAGTCTCATACACATTTCAGCCATAAGTACCTCCAAGCCTTTCTACAGTATGCTGTTCTCTAAGCTCAGTTGCCTTATCTTCCCTGATTTAATTGCTGTCATACTTATATTGCTAAACCCAAGTATTATTGCCTCTTTTCCGAAATCCTTTTCAATTCTCAGAGAGTCTCAAGACTCTCAGTGTCCCGACACTCTCTGTGTGCTTTGTACATATCTCTTACTGTGTTGTATTGAAAAATAAGGCCAGGGACTCTTTTAAAAGCTGTGCATCCCTAGAACTTTCTGTAGTAGCAGGCATGTAATCACTCAGCTAATGTTTATTGAATAAATTCATATCTGAATGTGAGAAATTAAATGGTTGGTGGAAATGCACAAAAGAGGAATGATATTTGGGAGGGATTATGATGAGCTCAGTTTTGGAAATCTTGAGTTTAGATATCAGTAGAATATCTATTACGTAGAAATGTCCAGAATCAGGTCAGTGGAGGGCTTGCCCGAGTAATTACAGGAACAGCAAATTAGTCTTCTCACTATGCTGGAGTTTGAAAGGTCAGGAGCTCAGCAGAGAAGTCTAGGTTTAGAGCTAAAATTGGTAGTCACTTGCACTGATGTGATTGTTGAAGCCGTGAAGATATTGATGATTCCTATAATGTGTGGTTTCTGTAATTTCTTTTTCTAATAGGTTCATTATTATGAAGATGGTAATGTTCAGTTAGTGAGTCATAAAGATATACAAGATTCCCTAACAGTGTCTGTAAGTAATTAATTTCAAAATTTTCAACAACCTAATACTTCTATAAAGCTAGAACAGTTTTGGAACTAACATTTTAAGTAATATTTCTGTCAGATTAAAGTGTTTTGAAATAGGTTAAAGATGGTAAGTTAACTGGAAGTCTGTACGTAACTTTTTTTTAGCAGCTTTATTGGTATAATTCACATACTGTTCAGTTCACCCATTTAAAGTATCAAATTCCATGTTTTTTAGTATATTCACAAGACTGTACAGTCACCACAATTTAATTTTGAATGTTTTTGTCTTCCAGAAACCCTGTACCCGTTAGCAGTCACTCCCCATCCGTCTCCCCAACAAGTCCTTCCCCAAAACCCTCCTCAGCCCTAGGCAACCATGAATTTACCTTTTAACTCTATGGATTTGCTTATTCTGGACATTTCGTATAAATAGAATCCTATAATATGTGGTCTTTTGAGACTTTTTTCACTTAGCATAATGTTTTTAATGTTTATCCATGTTGTTCACTCCTTTTTATTCTGAAATAATATTCCATATACCACATTGCATTTATCCATTTATCAGTTGGATTGACATTTGTGTTGTTTTTTACTTTTTGCTGCTGTGTGAACTGTTGTGTACTATTTTATTTTTTTTAAGATTTTATTTATTTATTTGAGAGAGAGACACAGCGAGAGAGGGAACACAAGCAGGAGGAATGGGAGAGGGAGAAGCCGGCTTCCCGCTGAGCAGGGAGCCCGATGCGGGGCTTGATCCCAGGAGCCTGGGATCATGACCTGAGCCGAAGGCAGATGCTTAATGACTCAGCCACCCAAGCGCCACTCGTGTACTATTTTTTGTGTAGACATTTGTTTTCATTTTTCTTTGGTGGCAGTGGAATTGCTGAGTTGTATGTAGTTCTGTATTTAACCTTTTGAAGAACTTCTGCCAGACTGTTTCCAAAGAGGCTGTACCATTTTACATTTCCATCAGTTGTCTACGAGGGCTCCAATTTTTCCATGTCTTCATCAAAACTTATGGCTATCTTTTTTATTATAGCCATCCTGCTGGGTATAAAGAGGTATCTTTTTGTGGTTTTTATTTACATTTTCCTGGTGGATAATGATGTTGAGCATCTTTTCATGTATTATTGGTTATTTGTAGGTCTTCCAAAAAATGTCTTCTTCCAAAAAATAGATCCTTTGTCTATTTCTTAATTGGTTATTAGTGTTTTTATTGTTGAGTTGTAATTGTTGCTTATATATTTTGACTACAATTTCTGTATCGGATATAGGATTTGCAAGTACTTTCTCCCATTCTGTGTGTTGTTTGACTTTCTTGATTGTATCATTTGCAGAACAAGAAATTTTAGTTTGGATGTAGTCCCAATTTATTTTTTTGTGTCGTTACTTGTGCTTTTGGTATATTAATAGAAACCATTGCCTAACCCAAGGTCATGAAGATTTACTCTATGGTTTTTTTCTAAGAATTTTACAGTTTTAGCTCTTAAATTTAGGTCTGTGATTCTGTACTCAACTTTTAAACTGTACTATATTTTTCCCCTCTATCTGGGTTATGATTTAATGAAGTTTTTCTGAAGTTCAGCTTTCAAATTCAAGAAACTTTGAACTTGGTTTTATTTCCCCACATAGTTCTCTCACACATTCTTTCCAGTACACGTGCAGCTATTTCTTTGTGGGATTTTTTTTTTTTGCCCCAGTGATATTAATAATACAACATTAATAGTCACATTTTATATTTCCCCATAAACATTTGTGTTGTATACCTAAAAGTGCCAATATATTATAAACATCAACTGCTAATATACAAAATTAGCTAACCTACAAGTATAAAGAAGAGTTAATTTTTAATTTAAGAAAGCATTTGATTTAACATTAAGAAACATGTGTGAATGTATAAGGCAGATGCTCCCTGGGAAGAGAAGAAAGCTGGTATTTAAGAAATGTTTCACTAGCACTTAGGTGATTTGTGCCTTTGTGCTAAATGGTACTCTACTTGCAAAATTTGCCAGTAAAAGAAACTAATGTCTGGTTTTCCGTGAGACACTGTGTTTGGTATTGTTCTGTATCATGTGCATACATGTAACATTATTTGCATAACTTATCTTTTTTAGTTTGACACTGAGCAGAGATTCTTTCTAAAAGACAGTTGTCTACAAAATTACAGACTACGGAGTTGTTGAGAGGTGGTCATAGTAATTAAACTTGACCAATATACCTTTTGTGCTGCTTTTTAGAAATGAATTTTTTACTTTATTTTACAGGTTTTCTCTTTCTTTTTTTTAAGTGTTTTTGGACAGAAAAAAATGCACGTTATAGAACTATAAATATGTTTGGGGCGCCTGGGTGGCTCAGTCGTTAAGCATCTGCCTTCGGCTCAGGTCATGATCCCAGGGTCCTGGGATCGAGCCCCGCATCGGGCTCCCTGCTTCTCCCTCTCCCACTCCCCCTGCTTGTGTTCCCTCTCTCGCTGTGTCTCTCTCTGTCAATAAATAAATAAAATCTTAAAAAAAAAAAAAAGAAATATAAATATGTTTGTGTAAATATATAAAACCTATAAAGTAAGATACTAGAGAATTTTACATTAACACTTTTATGAAAAAGTCTAAATTTCTGGTAACTTTTTTACTGTTAGGAAAAAAGCGAAGAAACCCATATATTGGAATGTTGAAATTTTTCCAGAAAATATTTAAACACTACAGTAAATTCACCTTAAACTGTAAAATAAGCTTTTCCGGGGTGCCTGGGTGAATCAGTCATTAAGCGTCTGCCTTCGGCTCAGGTCATGATTCCAGGGTCCTGGGATTGAGCCCCACATCGGGCTCCCTGCTTGGCTGGAAGCCTGCTTCTCTCTCTCCCACTCCCCCTGCTTGTGTTCCCTCTCTCGCTGTGTCTCTCTCTGTCAATAAATAAATAAAATCTTAAATAATAAAATAAGCTTTTCCTAATGTTTTTAAAATGTATTATTATGGTGGTAAATACTGTTGAGTACATATTTCATAATATTTAGATACAGTCATTAATTAGAAATTTATGACTAATTTCTTACCCGTAAACAGATTGTCGAATTCATGTTAAATGTTACTATTGAGTTTTTCTTTAATATGTATTATTAAGACTTTGCTTTCCTTAAACAGTGAAACCAGGCTCATTCTGTAGACTTTTAAAATATTTTTGCATAGCTCCCCTTGGACTTAGAATAACTGATCTTACAATATTTTCACTTTGTCATAATTTCTATTTGTGTTGTTTATTAAACTATAGTAAAGCATTATCTATACATATATTGACACACCTATTTAAAAATAATAGTGGTGTACACAAAAGTAGACTCAAAATGGATTAAAGACCTAAATGTGAAGCCTGAAACCATAAAAATCCTAGAAGAGAACACAGTAATTTTTTTGACCTTGGCATTAGGAACATTTTTCAAAGTATGTCTCCTAAGGCAAAAATAAACTATTGGGACTACATCAGATAAATGTAGTACAAAAAAAAAAAAAAAAGCTTTTGTACTTCAGTGAAGGATACCATCAACAAACAAAAAGGCAGCCTATTGAATGGCAGAAGATATTTGCAAATGATATATTTGATTAGGAGTTAATATCCAAAATATATAAAGAACTTAGAACTGAACCACCTACTGGGTGGCTCAGTTAAGCCTCTGCCTTCAGTTCAGGTCATGATCCCAGGGTTCTGGAATCGAGTCCCACATCGGGCTCCTTGCTCAATGGGGAGCCTGCTTCTCCCTCTCTGTCTGTCTGCCGCTCCCCCTACTTGTGCTCCCTCTCTGTGTCAAATAAATGAAATCTTAACAAAACAAAGCTTAGAGAACTCAACACCCAAAAAATAAACAGCCCGATTAAAAATGGGCAGAGGACCTGAATTAGACATCTTTTTTAAGGAAGACATAGAGATCTAACCCTAACCCTAGCCAACAGACACGTGAAGAGATGCTCAGCATCACTAATCATCAGGGAAATGCAAATCAGTACCACAATGATAGATCACCTTTCACCTGTCAGGACAGCTAAAATCAAAAAGACAAATAATTAGTGTTGGCAAGGATGTGGAGGAAAAGGAACCCTCATGCAGTGTTCGTAGGAATGCAAACTAGTGTAGCCACTGTGGAAAACGGTATGGAAGTTCCTCAAAATATTAAAAATAGAAATACCATATGATTCAGTAATTCCACTGCTGGGTATTTACCCAAAGAGAATGAAAACACTGATTGAAAAAGATGTAGGAATGTTTATTGCAACATTATTTACAATAAACAAGATATGGAAGCAATCTAAGTATCCACCAATAGATGAATGGATAAGGAAGATGGGGGGGGTGTACACACACACAATTGTGTATATACAGTTATACACACACAATGGAATATTACACAGCCATAAAAAGATGAGATTGTGCTATGTGCAACAACATGGTTGGACCTAGAGGGTATTAATGCCAAGTGAAATAAGTCAGACGGAGAAAGTCAAATACCATATGATTTCACTCATCTGTGGAATTCAGAAAAAAAAATGAATAAACAAAAAGCAGATATAAATATAGAGAACAAACTGATGGTTGCCAGAGGGAGTGGGGGTGGGGGAAGGGCAAAATGGTGAAGTGGAGTGGGAAATACAGGCTTCTAGTTAAGGAATGAGTAAGTCATGGGAATAAAAGGCACAGAATAAGAAATATCAATACTATAATAGCATTGTGGTGACAGATGGTAGCTACACTTGTGAGCATAGCATAATGTATAAACTTGTTAAATCACCATGTACAGCTGAAACTACTGTAACTTTGTGTGTCAATTATACTTAAATTTTAAAAAATGGAAAACGTAAAAGAAATAGTGGTGTAGTTTTAAATTACTATTTACTTTTGTTTTTCATTCAGAATGAGGTGCAAACAGCAAAAGAATTTATAAAGATTGTAGAAGCTGCAGAAAATGAATACCAGGTATGTTTTTCAAAAATATATGATTTATATTTGCTTTAAATAATGGCACTGAAATTTTAATTTCAGTCATGAGCCTGAATTTTTTTCATTTGTTTCACTATAATAAAACATAGTCCTTTTTGTTTTATTTGTTGTTTTTAAATCAGTGGCAAACTTATGAAAATGTGGCCAAAACTCAGTTTTTAGCCAGTTGTAATTTCTGAGTGTTAGTCACAATATGCCAAGGTTTTAAGTGGTTATTTTGTTCTTAATTGGAAATTTTAATTTATGAAGTATTTCTCAAAATATTTAGATTATGTGTAATCTGCTTAGATCTTACTTCACTTTATATTCTTATTTTTTACATTTTTTTATCAGCTTTTAAACTATACTCTTGAACTTACATATTTAATTTGTGGATTAGCCATATTTCTGCTCCTTGCAAGCAATAATTTATAAAATTGTTCTGAGTGAAATAGAAAACTAGATCCAAAATGAGAATATACAAATATTAAATCTAATTTGCAGTTTCATTTCATTAAATTTAATTATTCAAAATGATTATAGACTTTTTCTTTTAGGGGTGCCTGGCTGGCTAAGTCAGTAGAGCACGTGACTCTTGAACTGACAACTGTGAAATCCAGACCTGAGCCAAGATCAAGAGTTGGACGCTTAACTGACTGAGCCACCCAGGTGGCCCTCTTTTAGCTGCTTTTAAACAGTTTTTAAAACCACATTGGGGTTTTTATTTGACTTTTTTTTTTTTACTTTTTTAAACACTGGAATAGGCTGCTTAAATAAAGGTTTTTCTAAAACATCTATGTGTTTTATAAATTGTTCTGTTCCTTTTATTTCTTTAAACTTTTAACTACTATTTTTCATAGACTGCCATCAGTGAGAATTATCAGACAATGTCGGACACTACTTTCAAAGCCTTACGTCGACAGTTGCCAGTTACACGCACTAAGATTGATTGGAACAAGATCCTTAGCTACAAGATTGGCAAAGAGATGCAGAATGCATAAGATGAACATTGCATGACCGGATCATTTTAATGTCTTTGCGTTTTAAAAAAAAAATCATTGCAAAAATATTCAGAACTGTCGAGCTACCCAGTCAGATGGGCTGTTGCCATTTAAAATCACTGTACTTAGTTTGGTTAGAGCACAAAGCTTAGCTAATCAACCATTATTTTTCATTTCTTTTGTTCAAAGGGGATTGAAAATCAGTTTAGTTTAAATGTCTTTTACTTTGTTATACCTTTCTTTCTTATAATTAAGAGATGATTCCTCTAGTGTAATGTTAAAAGTTTTTGAAGTGTTTCAAAAATATTTTACTTACCGTAACCCTAAAATTGTTGTCTTTTGGCTTATGAAGTGGGTAATTTTTGATATTTGCCCAGTTCTTTTTAATGGGGTCAATAATGGACATTCTAGTTTAAGGTGGTTGATGGATTTAGCCATATATGCTGCTAAAGAAATTGTCTACCTTTTCCCCCTCACCTCTTCCATTTATCTAAAATTGAGATTAGAGGGAAAGCATTTTCTATATCAGTTGTGTTTGAATCTTTCAAGAAGGTTATTTAGCTAGCTTAGTGTTTAACTAAACTTTTTTTAAACAAGGCCAAGGTTTAGTGCTGTTTGGAGATTCTGAAATTAAATGAAAGTACTTATTTCAGAAATGCATTTAATGCTTTTTTCTTGTGACAGTTACGCAAATTAGCTTGAACTCCATATGTCCCTGAGTTATTTTTATCATAAAGCCACAAATGTATTATAACAAGGCAAATTGTAATATATATAATCCTGAACTCATGACCATGTCTCAGTTTATTTCTTTTCTTGGATTGAAAAGTACTAAAATTCAATGTGACATTAAAATGAAAATTTTCCTATTTATTTGAGTAGAATATCACTTATCAGTGAGTCATATACTACTTTAAAATAATTTCTTTGGATATTGTGATTCTTAACTGGTTGTAAATTAGAAAAGCTGGGAGTACATATGGTGTGCATTACAGTCTAAATTTTTCCATCATCCTATGCATCATAAGCATGTTTGTAATATTTTAAAATACACATTTAATGATGCTACAGGAATTTCAAACCTGTGGTGAATTAGAATTTACTATAGAGAGTGGGGTGGGTTTATGGTTTCATTTAATCGAGTATTGCTTATTATACTCCAGTGGAATCCCTTCCTCACATACTCTTGCAGATGTCTGGGCCTGGAAGTGTTTTTTTAAAACACCACTTTTATTATGTACAATAAAATTTCATTAGCTTGAATTGTATAGAATTTAAAAGTTTTCTCAATGAAAGCATGCTATTTAATTTCTTTTTAAAAATCAAAGGTGGGCTTTGAAAACATTGAGAATTTAATAGGAAATTTGACAGTTTGGGTTAAATTGTTTTCTTTAATTTGGTTAAATCATTTTCTCTGGTTTTGCCATATTGGGATTTCTGAAGAAAATGAATTAGCTATGTTAATTATTTCTTCCCTTCTTTTAAAAGAGATTTTCAAAAGTCTTATGATGATTCTAAACTAAATACTAGGTGAATCTTTCTTTAATTGGCTAGCTTGGTTATATCATTTGGACTGTCATAGGTTTTTATCCCCTAACGGTCAGTTACTTTGGCTGTTTTATGGCCTAGAATGCAATCTTGAAAATACATGCATTTGTCTTTAAGGTGATGTCTTGAGGGTGAAGTATGGAGGCAAGGGTAAAATCAGAGAACGGTTAGGCTAGTGCAGTAATCTAGTTGAGAACAAATGCTGGCTTGGTCTGAGGTGGTAGCTATAGGCTGTAGAGGTACTGAGTTCTGGATATGTGTTAAAGGTAAAAATCAAAAAGATTTGCCAAAATTTGGTTGTGGAATATGAGATAGAGAAATGTCAGAGACATTTTGGGGTTGAGAAATTGGGGGAAGGGCTGGTCAGGAGCTCAGTGTTCAATTTCAAGGGAAAATACCATGTAGCAGTTAGATACTGGAGACAGGAGGTAGAGGGGTCCTCTGGGCTGGAAGAACAGGAGAGTGAATGACAGGGTTTGGTAGCCAGGCAAAATGAAGGCTAATTCAAGGTTATTGATGATTTAAAGTGAGACCAGCGAGTATGACTCTCTTAAGCATGTGTAGAGCTACATGGGTGCAGGCATAGAGTTAGATGAATTGAATTTAACTAAGGTTGTGGTTTTGCCAAGAGAGGCAGACTGACCATGGGAAGAGGGCGCAAGCTTGTAAAGATAGCCTGTGGAACTTAAGCTAGGAAAGGGGGGGAAATGAAGCCAGGAGAGGAGCAGAATAGTGACAATGTGGCACAATCAGTGGATTATAAGTATGGTTAGAGTTGGGGTACTAGAAGGGCATGATCTGGCAGTGTAGGAAATGGTGGTTAGGGTGATGTGTTTAAAACTGAGATTTTGAGGAGTTACACTTACTTGTAATGACTTTAGGATCAAGGGAGTGACTGAGGTAGGAGGGGAGGAGTTCAAGCAGCTGTGAAGCCTGGGGTCGCTGTGGGGTATTGAAATCAAGAATTATTACAGTGGAAGTAAGTATTCTGACATGAGTGCTATTTTTCGAGACTACACCTAGATACACATTTATAACACATTTGTATGAGTTAAGTAAATAATATGGTACAGATATTCATGAGGCTTTTCTTCATTTGGGATTTTGGAAATTAAAATGGGAACAGGAGCATTTTCAGAAAGGTATTCTGGAAGTTCTGGTTCATTGATGTTCTTAACAAGTGAAAATCTTAGGAAAGTAAAGACAACTATAGGTAATTCCAGAGCATTTGGGTGGCCCTTTCTGTCGTTAAAATAATTTTTTACTTAATCACACCAAAAGCTTTGGAATGATACAAGATCCTCTGAAGAGGTCTTCCATGCTGTTAATCATTTTGTGCCTTTGCCAGCTAGTGGGTATAAAATATAAAGGCATAATTTGCCAGCAGTTAACACAGGTGTTTTGTAATGCATGTGTGTTGTGAAACATCCTGAGAAGAATGTGCATTTCTTTACACTTCCCTAGGATAGATTACTTAAAAGCAGCATCATAATGTACTTGCTATTCCTAAGTTGTAGTATTTTTGTCCTTGAAACTGAAAAATTTTTAAAGGCATGACTTTGTATAATAGGCATCATCACATTTGATACCCTTATTATGCAAAAGCTTTATTGTAGGATTGGCCAGTGGTGCCAGCTGTTGGAGAATATTCAAAATAGTCAGTTAAAATAACCAGTGAAACTTTTAAGGTCTAATTGGTATTAGAAATTAATTTCAGATCATTTAAGATTAACCACACTGTTCAGAGAACATTCTAGGCATTATAGAGTCAGGAAAATACAAAATTATTTCTTGAAGGAATCCATAAAGTAGTCATGGTCTATAGCAGTGTTCTCAACTTTTTTTACATCACAAGCTATAGAAAAAGTGATAATATTTGTAAGGCATTTTGGGAGGAATGGATTAGGCTGCTTGCCAACTGCTCTAAGGCTTGAGGGGACCTTGGTACACCTTGAGCCTATTTATTAGGAAGGTAGGCTACAGGTAACATAAAGAGCATTTACAAGATAAACTTCAATCCTAACTTATCTAAGGTAGCTTTTAAAGAAATGGCCAGCTAAGGAAGTTTTCCTGGAAAGGATGAGTGCAGACTCTACTTTAGCACACTAATATTTTTTGTAAGTATGTACGTAATTGGTAGGCAGGAAATCTTCTTGCATCTTAATGAAACATCAGAATACAGCTAATAGGTTTTTTGTATAGCTCCCTGATATGTTGTGGGTCAGATAGCATTATCCAGTTGAAAACTAAATGACATTGTTTTGTTTTTATACATATCACAGTATAAAATGAAGTCAGCAGGGGAAGGGTAAAATTAAAAATGTGTTCTTATAAAACTAGAATATAGCTAATAAGATATTAGGACATTTTATCCCTAGTTTTGGTATAATATAAGAAAATTGTGGTAGTTTAATGTCAGTTTTAGCATAGTGTTAAAAACTGTCAATTTCGGGGCGCCTGGGTGGCTCAGATGGTTAAGCGTCTGCCTTCGGCTCAGGTCATGATCCCAGGGTCCTGGGATCGAGCCCCACATTGGGCTCCTGGCTCAGCAGGGAGCCTACTTCTCCTTCTCCCTCTGTCTCTCCCCCTGCTCCTGCTCTTTCTCTCTCTCTGTATCTCTGTGTCTCAAATGAAAAAAAAAAAATTTAAAAAAAAAAAAAACTATCAATTTCTTATTCTTGTGTAGTAGGACTGTAACGGAGAACAAAGATTTTTTTCATGCAAACTGGCTAGAGAATACACATATCACAGTTATTAATCAGCCACTCATTCTCACAATGAATCTTCACTATGTGAAGTTAAAGCTCTGATTAATAGAAGACTGTTAAGGAAACAAAGTTGGTTGGTATGTCTTGGAGATGATTTATTGGGGAAATTTGTGAAATACCCAGCTTTTAAGCCAGATAAATATATATATATTTTTAAAGATTTTATTTATTCATTTCAGACACAGAGGTAGAGCATGAGCAGGGGGACAGGCAGAGGGAGAGGGAGAAGCGGGCTCCATGCTGAGCCAGGAGCCTGCCTGATGTGGGGCTGGATCGCAGGACCTTGAGCCAAAGGCAGATGCTTAACCATTTGAGCCACCCAGGTGCCCCTAAACCAAATAAATATTGAAGGAGTAAAAGGATACCTCCAGAAATCATGACTAAACAGTAAAAATCACTCTTTCTCTTTGGCTTCAAGTTTTGTGCTGCTAGCTTGCTAACTTAGCAGAATCTGAATGAACACTGATGCAGATCTCTTCCAGATTTCGACTTGAAAATGAGGGCTTGCCTCTTGTTTCCCAAAGGAATGCGAAAGAGAAATACCAAGGAGCCACAGATCTCTTAGGTATAAGTTAGACACTTAGGAGAGACTTTATTTCTTCAGAATGCCCGGGAAAACATAGGAGATGCAGTGTTCCAGGGTGCTGAAAGTATCTCAAATGTAGAAAAAGCTAAATTTAATTAAAAAAAATTTTTTTGAAAAGGAAAATTCTATTGTGCACTCATTTTCCCCTTATTTGGGGGCTTTACAAAGGTGAAAGGGAAAAAAATGGCAGAGACTTGTATTGGGAAAACCTTAGGTCAGTCTAAATAAGCAACAGAGATTATTAATACAGATACTGTGGTTTGTTGATACTAGGATAGCATACAGCTTTTAAAAACTCATGAGCTGGAGTTTCATATAGCAGCATAGTATACATGTTGAGAGAAAAGGGTAAGTATAGTTTTGAGTGTAAGTTTAAAACTACAGTGTATGTATAAAACAATAAGTATAGAAATCAGGATAGCGTGTGGCGGGGGGAAGACGGGAATGGGATGGGCGAACAGTATAGAGGGACTCGTAACTAAGAATTTGTTTTGTAACCTAGGTGATAGGTATGTGTGATATTTTGTAACTTAAGTATACAACTTATGCCAATTCCTCTGTATGAGAGGAAATACGTACAAAATTGACTCGGGTGAAGGTAGTAAAAATGGCAAAGGTCATAACCACAGGATAAATTGAATAGGAAGTTTACTCATACCTCTTTAAAAAGTCATTAGACCCATATCGTTTTATAGTGAATTTTATCAGACTCTTCATATTCCGATCATTTCTGTTATAGACATCATTCTGGATGTTTGAAAGAGATGAAAATACATTTTATGAGCCTGGCATATGTAAACTTAAGAAAAGTGCACACACACAAAAACTATTGATGAAACCTCCCTATAAAGTTATACTGCATTAATAACGAAAGTATATTACATTATGACAAAATACGATTTAATTTCTTGTTAACAAATCTAGTGATACAATTCATTACATTAGCATCTTACAGGAAAGAAACAGT